GTTGCAGCATGTCCAGTAGGAAGCCATGAGGACCAGTTCGTCATCTTCGACGCCCATTGGTACGGGTTATTGGACAACAATCGACGACGTTTGGACGTCGGAGTTGTGGATAACTTCCGTGGTGGAGGCGGAGTATGACAAAGTTGATGCTTCCCGAAGGGGCAATTGGAGTATTGTCTAGCACTTCTAGTACGACGTGTACTTGCCAAACTGCGTACACCGAACCACAAACTATAGCCTCCCCAGGTATGGGTAGAGGTGTGGTGGTCATCGCCCCCCCAAACGGTGAAGGCGCAGATGTGGCAGCCTCCCCAAATGAAGGTCGAGGTATCGTCCATTTACCCACCCCCAGGGGTGAAGGCACACATGAGCACAAGGTTTGTGCCTCAATGTTGAGTAGCTTGAACCCTCGAGACGTCTCGGGTGAGCCACTGTACGTGCACAACATGCCTCGGAGGCAGCTTGTTCACACGCATGGATGTGCTTACAAGGGTGTAAGGCATGCACCCAAGACACTTAGTCGCCGTAGTCTACATGGCATTGATGCCACAGACGATGCGGCGTGTCCCCCACTAATTGTGGTAGTCGCAGGGTGTTCATTAGGAGCACTGCGCAAAATATTTCTTCACCCGCAATAACCGTGGTAAATACCATGCAGTAACTTTGTGCGAGAAATGATGGTGATCGAGGAGAGCTTCCACTCGGTTGGAGTGATGGAGATGACATCTATCCATGTGTAGGACACGTCCAACAAATTATCTGGGATGTGATAACCATCCTTCAGATAAATCATGTTCGGTCGCCGTATGTGCCAGCGACATCGAGTCGAACTGATCCATGCCAAACAACTGTGTTGGTGGGTATCGGCTGCACCAGCAATATTACGGACTAATGTCCAATAATAATATCGAAAGTACGATGTGTACTTGATTTGTCGGTTGACTTCTAAAAGTCCCGAAAAATGCAACACGTGAATGTTGTTCATCGATAACCTGTCGAGGCATAAATTCCGACAGGTGTGCGTGAAGACATCAATAAATAGTCTGGTCACGTGGACACGTGTGTTCTGAGACACGAACGTACAGGTCGAGGCGCGAAATTCGCTGCTACTCGGTGGGGTGCAGCATTAGTCAGTGGACGGAGCGCGTCGACTGCGGTAGTTGCAGTAAATCACGCACAACAGTCACGGCAGCCGCCGTGGTACTTGGCTTGATAATCCACGCGGGCAAATTGTCGCGAATTATATAGTGTAGTACCTGGGTAGTATTGTGGCACGGAGTCATTAACGTCTTCGCGAACGTAATCGCCGCGATAATCTACGTGAAATATATCGCAAAATATATCATGATAATACCTTAAAGAGGTAATCAGTGCGTTCGTGGACGTTGTCGACGCGAGTCTTCGCGGACATAGTGCACTCGTAGTCCCAATGTAGTTGTCGACGGGGTCATATTTTTCGCGGACATTTTTCGTCGCGGTCACTTCGTGATCGTTGTCACAGTAGCCTTCACGGAATATTCGTCGCGGTGTTCTTTTCGGTAAACACAGTCGCCTTTCACGCGGTCTACTTCGTGATCGTTGCCACGGTAGTCGTCGCGGAAACCTCACGGTAGTCGTCGCGGAAACCTCACTGTAGTCGTCGCAGAAACCTCACGGTAGTCGTCGCGGAAACCTAACGATAGTCATCATGGGTAACTCTGTCTCGGTCATCACGATGGTATTCTTCACCGTGACCCGCCAGAGGAAGCAGTAGTAAGGCTCATAACCAGTGGAGAGGGCAGAAAGCCAGCAGCAGACATGTGTGTGGATGGAGGAAGAACTGAAAGTATATTAGTTCTGACAGTACATTTACAATTTTATTCACACATAACCGTTCTCTCAAACGCCAGACACATCGCATGATAAACTAGTTTCCGCACCAGAACGCTCCCAAGCTTGCGTACGATTCACAGATCGTTTTGGTGTACGCAGGGGGGAAGCAGTAGTTCAGCGTAGGGTAGAAGCACGTAGAGCAACCATTGCACTTGGATGGCGAGGCAGTCGTAGGGGCGACAGTAGGAACTACCGTAGGAACTTTGGCAGTGGTGATAGGAGCCGCGGTAGGGTTCGTGGTAATCGGGGCCGCAGTAGGGGTCTTGCTGGTAACAGGGGAGACAGTGGGGGCGGCAGAAGGCTTGGTGGTGATAGGGACAGCGGTGGGGGACGTGGTGATGAAGGGTTCAATAAAGTCGCGGGCGATGGAGATGCGACTATACACGCCAGGCTTGTCCTGCTGGGCACAGCCGATGCCCCAGCTGACCACACCCACCAACTTGACAGACCCGTTCGATTCGACCGTCAATGGTCCACCAGAGTCGCCTTGGCACGAATCTTCGCCCAACTTGCCGCCCGCACACAGCATGGCTTCGTTCACGGTGAATCCGGTCAACAGCTTTGCGCATTGGTCGTTGCTGATGGAATTCACGCCGACTTCCAGCAGCACTTCGGAAGAAGCTCCGCCCGAAGACGTACGGCCCCACCCGCGCACAATCGAAGGGGTGCCAGGCGCCACCGTGTCAAACGAGACCTGGACCGGAGGGAACTTGGACGGTTGTTCCAAGATCAAGATGGCAAAGTCGTAGCTCGTGGTCCCGGCGTTGTACTTGGGGTGTTTGATGGCTTGCTTGACTTTGATGCGTTCGCCGTCTTTTGTGCCGGACTTGTAATGCGATCCGATCGATACAAAGGTGCGACCTCCTCCGATGCAGTGGGCGGCGGTCAAGACGACGTTGGGGGCGATCAAACTGGATCCACACGAAGCAGCCCCCGTTTCGGTGCTGCGGAATCCGGTCACGTACAAGTGCTGGCCAACCGCAGCTTCCGTGCCGCCGACAATTTCTTGTTGGGCGACGACGGTGGTGGAGGCAGCGAAGAGAGTAGACAAGGCAAACAGAACGTTCATGGCAAGTGGCAAATTCAAAAATGAAGTCTGAACTAAAGATCAAAGCAGCCCGAACTCAGACAGTCATCGGTCAGGATTGTGAATGAGTCGATGATGGGTCATCTGAGTTGACTGTATATCAAACCCGGCCACCCATATACCGTGACTGAGGTG